GCTGCATTAAGAGAAAGTGTAATGAGAAGATTACATCAGAAAACCAAAGAAAAATATTTAATGATTTTTACACACTTCCAGTTTGTGCAAGAGACCAAGCATTAGCTGACAGAATTAGAATTTCTACGCCAGCAGTAAGTCGGAAAAAGGAAGATACATGTGAAACCAGAGTTACTCATGATCGACTAGTGACTGTGTCATACTATGTTACTTTAGATGGAACTACAACAGAAATATGTAAAACTATGTTCATTGGTGTTTTTGGTTTAAGTAGAGGCAAGGTGGATGTCATTATTCAAAAAGTGAAAGCTTCTTCATCTAGAATTATCCAAGGAGATATGCGAGGTAAGCACCCACAACAGTTTAAAACTACTAGCGAGGAAATTGAAGATATTAATGCATTCATAGACAGATATCCTAGGCATGAGAGCCACTATGCTAGGAGAGATAGCTCCTCTAAAAAAGTATTTCTACCAAGTAATTTAAATGTTAAGATTATGTATAAGGAATATTGTGAGCACAGAAATGAAAATGGTCACACTAAGTCCGCATGCTATGATGTTTTTAGAAAACAGTTTAATGCCAAAGGATATAAATTTAAAGAACCATTTATTGACACATGCAACAAATGTGATGAGTTTATTTTAAAGAAAAGACATTCAACCAATAAATCTGATCGCCAAATTGTTTCTGATATGCACGACTCTCACATCAAAGAGGCCCAAGAGGGTTATGATATGAAAAATCATGATAAAAATCTAGCGAAGTACTATGACAATAGAGTTCTATTAGTGTTTGATCTCCAACAGGTTCTTCCTGTACCTTACTTATCATCAAATATTGCATATTATAAGAGGTTTCTATCCATGTACAACCTCACTATAAGAAACTGTTCAAATGACCAGGATTCTTCTTATTGCTGTATGTGGAGTGAGATAGATGCAGGCAGAGGCTCTGATGAAATTGCCTCGTGTGTTTTCAAAAAAATTATGGATCTTCCAAACAATATCGAGTATGTCACCACATACTCAGACACCTGTGGAGGACAAAACCGAAACATTAACATTGCCGCCATGTTTTGTTATGTTCTGACCAAGAAGAAAACCATTCAGGTAATTGATCAAAAATTTTTGCTACCTGGTCATACACGTCTCGAATGCGACAGCGATCATGCTCGTATTGAAAGAGCGAAAAAAATACTTCACTCTTCAGTTAACAAAAACAGTATCAGTGATACGTACAGAATCATGGTGCCACGTGATTGGTGTCAGTTCGTCCGCACACTTTCTGGGAGAAAGAAATTTAAAGTTATTGAAATGCAACAACTTGACTTTAAGGAATTTTCTAGTCTGTTGAAAAATGTGTTGGTCCATCGGAAAACTGACAGTGAAAAACAAAAAGTCGAATGGTTGAAAATCAGGTGGCTACGATACACTCAAGATTTTGGACGAATTTATTTCAAGTACGATCTTAACCCATTTTCTCCATTTAAAAGCTTTAGTATATTGAGGGGTAAGAAGGGTCGACCAGAAAACTTGGAAGTTGCAAGATCATATGCTGGACCTTTGCCAATAAACCCGAAGAAAAAGAAGGATCTTCTCTCAATGTTTAGCCTCATTGATCCCCAGTTCCATTCGTTCTACAAGAAGCTGACCACTGATACAAACAGTCGTGAGTTTGATGAATTGGATGAGTTGGATGAAGAAGATAAAGTTTAGTTTCTACTTTCTTGTTTTACTCAACAATTTTTATTTTTCTTTGAATGTAATGTTTTAAAAATAATGTAACTCTGTCAACTAGCAAGGACAATTTTGAAAAACAACGTATAAATACTGATTTAATAGTTATATTAATAAAAACTGCTATAAGTCTGAATTGTTGTTATTATCAAGATGTCTTTCAAATTATTTCACATATTTTTTACATAGAAATCGAAAATAAATTTAAAACTACACAAACACTTGTAATAAACCCTTTAATATAACTAATTCTTGCTTGAAAATTACTGGTAATTTATCCATAAAAAAAAGCATTACCAAAAAAGAGTTATGAGGAATAATTTCCCTATATAGTTATGTGGTGATTTGAGTCATATGGCAGACGACAAAACATGATATCTTTTACATCACTTACAAAAAAAAATAATTAGTAAATTTAAATAACATTGTTATTGCTTGATATTTTGTATTCAGTTAGTAAAAGAACAGCTGCATAGTTAAATATAAAATTTGCTATGAATAACTTAATAACTGATTTTTAGAACCCTGCTAAACTTTAAAATTGCTCTCCTGAAAAGTTGATGAAACATGACTTATCAGCTTATGTCATCTACTCACAGAAATAATCTATAACGTACCGAAATGTGTGATTGTTGTATCGGTTTGTTTATTTTTAATAAAAAACTTTATTTTTTGCAAATAATAAGTTTTTTTAAAAGAAATAAATATTGGTTTAAAATACTTGGTGATTCCGTATAAGTTTGTGTATGTTTATATATTATTAAAGACAATAAGAATAAACCAGATTTTTTTATTTAACTACATTATGAATCAACCCACATAGTTCTGTTATCATTGTCAGCCATTTCACGCACGTCTTCTCAAAGACTTTGAGAAGACTTGAATAGAAAAATTATTAATTTTTTGTCCTTATCTGAGCAGTGGCGGGGGGTCATGGGTCTTGAGGGTGATTTTGATATAGGATTTAGATTTTTGCACCTTTCATTTTTGTCAAGGGGGGGTCATGGGTCTTAGGGGTGATTTTTATATGGGATTTAGATTTTTGCACTTTTACGATTGATATGATTTGTGTCTCATGTAAGGGAATCATTTTCTTAATAATTATTTTAAGCGATATATGAAACCAATGGGAAGTTATTAAAACCCAAATGCCCCAGTAGTGCAAAGAAGGTTACAAAATTAAGGGGTCTTAAACTTAAACCAAAAAAAGTAATTAAACCCTCACACCTTATGACAGTAAAATCAAATGTACAAGACCCTTATCATGACTATATGAATACGGAGAATACGGAGAGATTAATTTGTAAAATGGCTGAAAGAAAAACTGTTGCCAAGTTTACATGAACCATCCGTTGTAGTACTAAATAAAAGAGTGGTTAACGAATAAAAATAATATATTTCCTCAATTACAACGTTAGCTAAAAGTCATGCACAACCAAACATATATAGTAAACGAAATTATACATAGCTTTGGATATCGTGTGTTAAGACTACAGCCCTATCATTGCCAATTCAATTCAACTGAATATATTTGGGAGATATGCAAAACATATTATGAGAACCATATTGGATACAAGGGTTACAGTAACGAGGCATTCTTGGAAACATGGCAACAAGCATTGGATATTGCCACTCCTGAAATTTGGGAAAAAAGTGTAAAAAAGATGTCAAAAATTTAATTGAAGAATGGTGGATCCTTAAAGGTCGTATCGAAGCTGTTAATTCTGTTAATTCGGTTAATTTACCATTCGAATAAGTATAGCGACCACAGTGATTATGGCTGTGAGTCTGATGGTTGATGACAGTGTTAAGAGATTAGGAGAATAAGAGACTAAGTAAGTTTTTTTTTGTTTTTTTAATACTAATTGAATATTCGACTAAATAAATTACACTATTTAGTCACTTTAGTATTGTTACACTTCGTTGAAATCACTTAATTCAAAAACCAACTTGTTTAGAATACTAAACTCAATGATAGTAATTATATACATCAAAATCTGAATTACAATCTGTTCCATAAACTATCAACTATATACTTATATCATGACTTCATATTTAAATCTAAGGTTTATATCTGTCATAACAGTATTTTAAAAATGGTGAGAATTTACTATTGTACAATTCAGCACATTGGACCATTTAAATCGATACCTTAAACTGAATTTAAAACAGTCGTATATTCGTGGAATGGAGTATACCTCTTGCTATTTTCTTCCTTAGCTTAGACTCCATTACTGGACATTCTTGCACACGATTTTCTTTTACGATTTCTGTCTTCTTTATGTTTTTGTTTTGTTTCAGGTATATCATTAGTTAAAATTTCGTGAAATATCTATATTAGTTACCTAATAATTGTTTTAATAACAGTCTTTTTTATATTCACAAAAGATAACAGCAAATTATTTAATTGTATAACAAGCAAACGAACTAACTATGCTTGTATTATATACTCTCATAAAAAACAATAAATGGATCAGTCATTTTTAAATGTGTCTATATTTATTAATCAATACTGTTTACTATTTAATCCAACTTGTACGTTGAAATATCTTATACACTATATGACGTCATAAATAATGATGCACTGAAAATAGCTAAAAAGAACCATATACATTATTTTCTGTAATAAAAGCCGTATTTAGCCGCAATAAAAAAAAGCCAGACGTTTGCCAATCCTTGTATATAGAATCGCTAAACCAATATGTACCGATATATAAAACATTATTTATACTTAATAAAATATATCATACTAGTACCTTAGATACTGTGCCTTAGATCCTTAGAAGAAGTAGACTTGAAAAAACTAGAAAAAATAACGATCTTCCTGTTGAAAGTCAAAACGGTATTAAAAATTAGTTTTTTTAACAGATGTAATATTATTAAAGAAAGCATACCACTTAGACAAATACTATTAACATGACTAATTACTTTTTTTACTATTTCTTTAAAACCGATTTACTTAATATAATTTCTGCATATCTTTATGAATTTATAAAGAACATAAACGAGTTAGTTATTTAAACGCCATTAAAGCAAAAAACTAGTACAACTTACAAAGTGAAACATTGCTAGTATAGTTATAATAGCTTTATAACTTTATGGCCTGTACAGTAATAATTTTCAAACTTTCATTACTAAAGAAATTAAAAATAAATTTAATGGCCCTTTCCAATATCCAAATCCAATTAGTTTGTTGCTATTAATTTATAAGAACAGCAATAAAGTTGAAACAACTGGATACAAAATTCTAATTTATTTCAGATGGTAAGCGCAAATCGATTATCCATGCATATTTTTTTTATTATGGAAAGCTACAAATAAAATATTCTATATTAAGAAATATTTCAATGAGGTAATCGACGCGTTACAATATCAAAACGGTGTTAACCAGGGATACAATATGGATCTCTCGCATTATATGCAGAGAGCGCAGATAGAATGACCAACGAAGAGATAAGAATAGAGAAGAACCATCATTAGAGGAAATATAAAATATAAGCTTTTTTCAAATTATAAAGAAACGAAAATCCAGAGGCATGTGTCCAGAGAAACATTAAGAGCATGTGCAATGGAGTAAAACCAAATTGCTTAGTAAAGTAATTGATGCGAGTTAAATAACTTTTTATTCTCTGAGAACTTACTTACCTATAGCAAACACTAGTTATAGTGAGGTCCTGTGAGATGCACAAAACGACGTATTTTCACATCGACTTACTTAATCATCCGACCAGTGAACAAACCGGAAAGTCCTCATGTACTCAGTTGCGCAGCTCCGATAAATTAGTTACTGCTAATTTTTTATGTTCTCTGCAGACTTTCACCGTCCACAACTGCTTCTTTAAAAATCTCCGCCATGAAACATAACATCCAGCATTGGCTAGGATTGTTTAAACAAAAATTTATCAGTGAAACTTGTTAAACTTTTGTTGTATATTATCAAATTGAATAAATTAATAAGAAAAAATCTGCTATGTAAATTAACTATAGAACGTTTCATGTTAAGAACTTAATGTTGCCTTAGTCGGACAGTTTTCAATTAAAGGTGACTAATCTACAAATTGAACTAAATGGTAGCGGCAATGGTGTAAAATGTCAGTGGTAAATTCTTACAGAGGTCATTTTTATTGTGTATACTTCGCCCATGTAAATAAGCGAAAAAATAATATTGTCGTCATAACATTTTCCCCCGTAACAATATAAATTGGTGCGATTCACGAGTGTGTAGTGAGTCAAGTTTATTGAATAGTTTAAAACATCCGCAAACTTATCAATATTTTGCTGGTCTATGTATATTTACGTTCTTATGATATTAATATGATTAGTTTATGTTTATTCGTTCCAAATTCTTATGGGCATAGGCGTAGTGTGTTATATTTCTTGGGAATGTATTTATTAAATAGACTTTATTATTAACTTTAAAATAGTTTTGAGGTAAGTAAAGTAAATTTGCGGCAAGTTTATTCTTTATATAGTATTAACCCGTTAACGGCCGGTCAGTATACAAAGAGAAATTTGACAATTAATTTATTAGATTGGATTAAAAACACATAAATAGTAATGCTTAGAATAGTGATTCTTCACTATTATAAATTATAAATATAAATCTATGTCGGCTCATGCTTTCTCTTATAATGTGCACTTCTTTATCCTCATCCTTTGACCAATGTATATCAACTTGAAGCAGAGTGTGAACCAGATAATATACAAATCTATGTTATTCATTTCAAAATCGTGATGGTTATTCTGCGATGCACAAAGATTTGTAAAATATAGAATGCTCTCAACTACGTTTTTATCAAAAAAAAAAGAGTAAAAAAACTTCAATATATGACTAGCCTCCATGGTTGGCTTTTATATTGTCTAAATATCAATCAGACTGATGTTAAATTACTACTGAGCACAAAGCAGCGCGAAGAAGTATCTGTTGTTACAACTTAACAACAAATTTGGATTTATTTTTTTGACTGGTTTTTTCTTTGGACGTTTTATCTATGGTTCAGAGGAATATCATAATCAGAATCGCCAGAATTCAAAATCACTTGTATTTCATATGTACCTGCAATATCCGATTTTATTGATTCTTCACAAATAATATTATCATCAATCTTTTACATAAGAAACTTTCTAATCTAATCTCGGCGGCAAATAAAACACTTTAATCTGAGTCTTCTTCTAACAAAGCTAGAAAGCTATTCTTAACTCTTTAGTGGTTAGTGTCATCTTTATTTCATATTTCGAGAATTTACTGAAATAAACAATTGCACTATTATATACATGCATTCACATGATAATAGTTTAGCTTAATTCATTTTAATTTATATGAACAATATATTTTTATATTTATATAAACAAATAAACACAAGGAAACTTTTAAATTAAGTTAAAAAAACAATAATAAAGTTTACAGCACACAGGAATTCTATTAATAGAGAATGATGTGTAATGACGAGATCGTATGTTAAAATTTCAGATTGTTTAATCTAGTGAAAAAATAAGTATTTTCCAAAGTTTTCTATTTTTTGAAGTTCTGTATTAGATACTCTCTAATAAGAATAAAATTTTACTTTAATTTGTTAGACAACTATAAGATAACTGTCAAAGGACACATGATAATTTAATACTTATTTTTTTTTTGAACCTATTCTCTATCCTTCCATTGTTGGATATAGGTCTCCCCCAGTTCTCTCCATCTTTCCCTATCTTGAGCTGTTCTCTGCCATGTGGGACCTCCTTGTTTCCTGATGTCATCTTTCCACCTCATCTGTGGTCTGCCTCTTGATCTCTTTGCATTGTATGGACGCCACTTTCCGATGGCATTGTTCCATCGTCCGTCTTGGAGACGTTCATTGTGTCCAGCCCATTTCCATTTTAGTTTTGCTGCTTGTCCTATCGCGTCTACTGTCTTTGTTCTGGTTCTGATCCACTGGTTACGTTTTCTATCTCTAAGTGATACACCCAACATTTGTCTCTCCATCGCTCTTTGTGCCTTCCTTATCCTATCCAAATTGGCCTGTGTAAATGTCCATGTCTGTGCTCCGTAGGTGAGCACCGGTATGATACAGGAGTTATATACCTTACTTCGTAACTATAGAGGGATTGTTTGATTTTTTAGAACGTAAGAAAGTTTGCCGAACGCTGCCCATCCCATTCTTACTCGTCTCGATATTTCGGCTGTTTGATTTTCTCTATTAGCTCTGATTGCTTGTCCTAGATAGATATACTCATTTACCTGTTCTATTTTTTCTGTTTTTATTTTTATTGCCCCTTGGTCTTCCGTGTTTGTCATTACTTTTGTTTTGTTGAAGTTAATTTTTAGGCCTTTTTGCAGTGATTTTTCATGAAGTTCATTCAGCATTAATTCCAGTTCTTGTCGTTCGGAGAAGATCAGGAGTATATCATCTGCATATCTAAGGTGATTTAGGTATTTTCCGTTAATACATATTCCTGTGTTTTCCCAATCTGTTAATTTTATTATGTCTTCGAGGGTCAAGGTAAACAGTTTAGGTGAAATTATATCGCCTTGTCGGACTCCTCGTTTAACTTTTATATTATCCGTTATTAATTTGTCGTCCAGAATTACGGTCATGGTTGCGTTTTGGTAAATATCATGTATCAATTGTCGGTATCTTGAATCTATTCGACTATTGACCAGAGCTTCTTCAACCGCCCAGTGTTCAATGCTGTCGAAAGCCTTTTCATAATCTACGAATGCTAAGTACAGCGGAAGGTTGTATTCATTGGTTTTCTCAATTAAGATTTTAAGCGTATGTAGATGGTCGATTGTGCTGTATCCTTTTCTGAATCCGGCCTGTTCCACTGGTTGGTAGTTATCAAGTTTATAGGTTAGTCGGTTGTTTATTATTCTTGTGAAGGTTTTATATAGTTGTGACAAAAGGGAAATAGGACGGTAGTTGTTTAGGTCTGTTCGGTCTCCCTTCTTATGTATTAAGATTGTGTTGGCATTTCTCCATTGTTTGGGTATTTTACCTTCAAACAGACATTTGTTGAACAGTATTTTTAGCATTTTTTTTTATCGTGTCTCCTCCTTCTTTTAGCAGTTCCGCCAGTATTTTGTCCTCACCGGCCGCTTTATTTCTTTTCATGTCGTTTATGGATTTTTCGATTTCATCTTCAGTTATTTCTGGTAATACCTCTGAGCCAACATTTTGTATTTTCCTCGTGAGATTCTGTTTAGATGATAGTGGTGGGTCATTTTTAGAACTGTATAGGTCTGTGTAATATCTTTCTGTGATTTTTACTATTTCTCCTAGATCTCTTTCTTTATTGTTCTCAGCTTTAAGCATGATTAGTTTTCTTTTTCCTATATTTGTCTTGTTTTTAAACTTTTGTTCTTCTCTATGATTTTCTTAATGCGGTCTTCTTGGTATTTCTTTAAATCTTCCTTTATCTGTTTTCTTATGGTTTTATTCAGTTCGGTATACTCCACTGTATTTCTTTTGTTATTATTCAGTAGTTGTCGTCGTTTTTTTAGCATATCTTGTGATTTACCGCTAATTTTTTGTTGTTTTCGCTTTTGTTTATTAGCAATCTTCAAGCCTGCTTCTAGTAGTTCTGTTGTTATTGTATCGTTTAATTCGTCTAGTTGCAGACCCTTTAGCTGTGATATGTCACTTCTTTTTATCTGGTTTATGTATTGTTCTTTGCGTTCTTTAAGAAGTTCTGTATCTATCTCTTTTTTAGATGGTTTAAATTTTTGTCTGTCTGTTGTGGAGTTAATTTTGATTTTGGCTCTAACAATTCTGTGATCACAATACTTATATCAGTCTTAAATTTAATTTTTATGTAATTACTTATGTATTTAAATAAATAGTTAAATCAATTTAATTCAAGTTAAAAACAAACAAATATAACGTTCATAGCAGATAGCAATTCTATAAAATAGAGAATGAAGTGCAACGACGAGATCGTATGTTAAAATTTCAGATCGTATGTCTAATGAAAAAAGAAGTATTTTGCAAAGATTTCTGTTTTTTGAAGTACTGTATTAGGTACTCTATAAAAACAATAAAATTTTACTTCATTTTGTTAAACAACTATTCGCTCCGTGCGTGACTAACCTATTGCCTTCATCTGAGAGTTTTGGACCTCCCAATTTGAGGTTAAACATATGTTAAATATATACGGAACTGACAATTATTAATAATTAGTTTTTTTTTTCAAAATTTTTTCGTCAGGTAGAAATCGTATGATTTCTCTTTTTGTTCTTATATGGCGTACTTACGTCTGTACATAGTTATTTTTGATAACTATGGTCTACGAAGGGAAAAGATTTTGTTTTGATACGAAGTAGTGGCTATACCGTACTAAGGAGACCTAAAGAGGTCGAAATACGTATATGCGGCTTGTCGCTGCTCTATATCGAATCAAAATCTAATACCGTCATTGTTTTATTTCTTTACTTCGTTTGGAGTACCAGAAATTGAAATCACTACGAATTTCAGCCATGATGAACGGTATTCGGAATGCAATCTTAGATTCCCTTGCCAATTTATTCATCAAGATGTTTGCTATGCAAGTTTTAGAAAGCACGGTGGCTGAGATTTGAATTCGATTTCGCCAGGTAGAAATCGTATGGTTTCTCTTTTTATATTTTTTCAGTTTATGTACAAAATAAATGTAGTATTTAAAATTGGGTTTCTAAAAATTCATTATAATTTATCTTTGCAACTCCAAACGGAAAAAAAGGGAAAAATCTAGTACTGGCAAATCAAGATTTTCATGTGGAAGAGCATGTAGTTAAAAACAATAGTAGTAAAAGTTTTGATATAAAAGCTAAAGTCATCAGGCAGGCTGCAATTAGCTTGAAACCTTATGAAATATCATTTAAGATAAATTATTTAAATTTTTCCTAATTTAATTGCATAAAAATGAAATTATGTGATATTTACTTTTTTATATTAATAGCACGAATCCATCTTCTTTTTCCGAATTTATATGCAATCTTTGGAAATCTATAAAAACTACACTCACTATTTTTGCTAATATTTGCACAATTCAATACGCAACATGTATTTGCACCCATTTTTGATAAAATTTATGAGTAAAAGATAGGTCCAATTTTGTCATATTTCGCCGCTACGCACGCTGGCATTGTTTCAAGGTAACCCTACCATGGTTACGCACGGAGCGAATAAGATACCTGTTAAAAGACACATGATAATTTAATAACTATATCGGTCTTAGATTTAATTAATTACTTATGTGTTTAGATAAATAATTAAAAATTTTTTGGTACGCCTCTGCAAAATTGATAAGTGGAATATGATTTCGTTGGAAGTTATCGTTAAGGGCTTCGTTAAGTGCGATGTTGCCAAGTAATCACCTTCAAATAAAAATTCTTTTAGTTATAACTTTATAACTTATTTTTCTTTTAATTTTTTTTAAACATTTTTTTTTTATTTTATTTTTAAGACACACTTGAACTAGAGTCGACACGCAAAGGAACTTGGACTCATAAAGGAACTAGAAACCAATGGGACATTGAGCTAAAGAAAGATATTAAGGAGGAAAAGCGAATTTTTCAAAAGCATAGTTAATTTTAAGCCACACAGAGAAAAAGTATTTGTGTAAACGGTCAATGTTCAACAAACTAACTTTACAATCTCATGGGAGAATAATATTCCAATTATAAACATTTCAGCGGATTACATACTTTCCAAAATTATTATTATTAGTTATATGCATTACATCAAATAAACTTTCCAAGGAAAAATATTAGAAAGTAATAAATTTTAACTTGTTTGAAAACATTTCTGCTGCAACAGTTATATTCTCATAAGACAAATAATAAGAGAGAAAATTTGATAAAAATTTGTTTACTTACGTTAATTTTTTTTACAGGAAGGAATTTGCGACAAAACCTCAGCACCCTCTGTAAGCTCCATCAGCAGGCTTATACGTGGAGGAAGAAAAAGCGATTCTGATAAGAAAAATCACTCTATAGATGGAATATTAGGTAACTATGCTATTTAAATTAGGTAACGTGTAACTTGTTATTTAAAAGTAACTGTGCAATCAGTAGCAGTTGGGTTTGATCAAAACACCATACTTATGTAGAAACCTACTAATGTTCTCGTTATTTTAATGTCTTACTCCTATAGAATAGACGATAAAAATAACTTACTTAAAAGAATTATTAATACCTATATCTCCGTAATAAATTCATGATAATTATAGGTAGCGTACTATTTATCATTATTATAGTCTATTGAACTTCTATTAAAATAATGTTGTGTAGTGTTTTTTGTTTCTTTAGTTTAAGTATAATATATATTATTGTGATATTTAAAGTCTTAGCGCGCCAAGCAATTAATTAGCTAATTAATTAATTAATTAATTAAAATTATTTAAATGATATGACTATGATTCTATCACACTTTTTAATTCTCTTATCTCAGGGTTCTATTCGTGCTTCAATATCTATGCTATTACATGTGAAAGGTAAGGTCCAAAGAATACCGGAATAATAAAAAACATATAGGATCTAACATTATATATTGAAATAAACTAATGAAATAAAATTCACACTCAAAAATTTTCAATAAACAAAATCTCATATAATGATTCTTAAAATTTTGTTCTACGTACGTGAACCTTTAAAATTAACGGTACAAACAAAATTAGTTGAAATCTTAAAATCCCAAATATTATTCTAAATCTCCTAATCAAAAATGTATATCTTTTCTAAAGTAATTGTAAAAATTGTGTTATCAATAAAAGAAAAACTGCAGAAAAACAAAACGATCTCTCTCTCTGATGATGAGTGGTCCAAATCCTTGTTCCTTGTAGTCTATACTATCTACTCTTAGTCGCTCCCTAGGTAATCAGCAATCTTACAACAAATTATTGCAAGTTTATCGTCCTTAATGATCTCCTTCAAATGCACGAATCGTTCAAATTGTGCTAGCTTCTTCTTCTCTCAATAAACTGAATCTCTCGTTGGCTTGAGTGAAAAATGACTCTTGGAATATCTTTTCTTTACGATAAACTAAATCTCTAGTTGGCCTGAACAGTGACTCTTAGAATATAAGTAGAAAATATAACTTACAATCTTTTACTGGATCAGCTTCTGTCAGATACACTAACTACACGAAAACTCACAAACTTTCACTGCTACTGCTTTCTACCTCTGGACCGCTTCCTATCTATTATATATATATATATATATATATAATATATATTATATATTATATATATGTATATTTATATTGACACTGCAAACAATTAATTCATTTAATTAGTATTAGATTTAAAATATATCTCAATGACATTAATTACAGACACCAACTTGAACCGATTAACTTCTAATTTCTTTCAGTTCTTAAATTGACTTGGATATTCTCTTGTCAATTCGCTAACTAACTGCCTTCTTGAATCTGCTCCCAAAAATGAATTTTCGATCTCACCACCAAACCAAAACTCAAATCTTCTTTTGGATACTAGATTCTCCTAGCTTAAACTTCTGCCGATGCAATGATTATTTATTGGTACTTCTACACTGCTACCCATCAGCATACATGGAATAGCTACTGTTACCATTTTTTCTAACACTTTCGATTCACCGTTCAAATTCAACGGCATTTTTTTCAGATGTTGTTCTTTTATGAACACTAACAGATCTTATTTTTTTCCATTTTCAAAATCTTATCAAACGTACAACTTGTCCCTTTTCTATTTTAGCATATATGTAGACACTTTTTTAAGGTGGGTACACATATGCGAACCAAACTGTTTGCGAACGCTATGTATTCCTATAATTTGTACAGCATGACGACCCACTTGCGAACTGTTCGTTCGTCGCTCATCATCACTACGGTCTGTCGGTTGTTAGGACGAACACAAAGGATATTCGCAGTTCAATTTGGACGGTGTTCGCAGCGATATTATCTGGTCGTGTCGTGGCATTGAGATTGTATGACTTGTTCCTAGTTTGAATTTAGTGTACATTTTTCATTCACCCAATATTTCCATGATAGCACATTGTTCCGAGAATAAATGTATTGAACTTATTGACTTATGTCAGGACAAGAGGATACTCCAGGATCCGAAAGACCGTGATCATTTCTGAAAAAACTTAAAAGATAGTGCATGTTGCGAAATAGATGAGACTGTGGGTAATGCACAAGAACACTGTGGACGGAAAATGATCACCCTATTGGCATCCTTTGGCGCGAAAAGAAAAAGGTCTTCACAGGGACCTTTTCCCGCAATGAAACAGGAAAGAGTCGGTTGAATAAAACAAAAACTCTGAAAGCATAAATTATATTTTACCAAATTGTGTTCATTGGACCAAAGCCACCTAAGTAAAAAAAAATTTTCTTGGTCACCTTCTTATTTTACCTTTTTATGTCCTAGGAAATGCTGATTACTTTTCATGTAATGTATCATATAACTAAATGCCATAATTTCGAAGTTATTACTCCGAAATACAGTTTAATACAGTTAGATGAATCAACTCGTTTACTCTGAATAACATTGAATAAATTATGTACCAATTATATCATAACAAGGTCTACTGTCAATAAATTAGTAAAAAGTTTAACGAACGTAATGCTGTAAAATATTTATTAAAATCATACCGCAGAGAACCTACAGCAGCTGAAAACAAATTCATGTTACAAGTAAGTCAATGTTTGAGTAGGATAAAAATATGGAATTTTAGAAAGCCAGTAAAGGCGATTACAGCTCATTCTCAAAATGTTATTCGTTTATTTCAATATAACAATCTATGCCATTTTTATAACTTTGACTATACATTTGGTAACATCCCTGATCTTTGAATTCCTTAATTTTGGTTTTGTGTTATAAGCGACGTTTTAAGTGACTCCTTAGAGAAAAGTCCTAAGGTTCAAGTCACGTAATCAGGGAGATCATTCGATAAAACCACGCTTTCCAATACATCTTCTCGGAAACCCATTATTTACATATTGCCACATCACAGCGCATAGTAAAATGGAACACAATCTTTTTGCAGCCAAATATTGTCGTTTGGGATATTCTTATTGCCAGAAAGTTTTAAATCATAAAAATTATACATTAAAATGTAATTGAAAATACTTACATGCATTTGAAAAAACTGAGCAAAAATAGATGTAATACTATTTTTCAATAAATTTAAATACACCGAACTATTTAAATTTACCTCAGTGAAAAAGGGGCCAATTATTGTGGCGTCTATTATTCCAGCACATACATTACGTATTTGTGGATACTGGGTGTGATATTCACGCATCTAACGAGGATTGTTACGTGATGATGCCGATATACGTGTGCATTAATTAAAAAAGTGGCTTCATCGCAAAACATTACGTTATTTAAAAAATTTGGATCGTTTTGATTGTGATTTGAACATTTTTCTATTAATATATCTGCAAAGTCCTCAGGTCTATAGAAATAATCATCTGACAACTAACCATATTTTGTATGGATTGAATTTATTTTTATGTAAACTTTGTTGCAAAATCTCAAGTGACCTGGATATTTATCTACATAGTACTCAAGTGTGATTTTCAGTAAAATCTTTAAATTGTTTCAGACTGACATATTGAAAAACATAAAATGGTACAGTAGGCGGTACAGTAGATTGGCTCAATATTTTCTGTATTTTTAAAATTTAGCTAATATTCTTAAAATTGAATAAAGTAAATAATTCAATAAAATATTATGTTTGCTTCTAATGCCACCTTCTAACGTATTAAAAAAGCATACGTTGTTTACTTCTGGCAGACCTCTTAAGTGCTATATTTGTTCTGTACTTTTATATGGGGTAGAACTGTGGACACTAAAAGTATCAAGTATAAACAGAATTGAAGCATTGGAAATATGAATTCACAGACGGATGATTAAGATACCTTGAAGAGCAAGAAAAACTAATAAGGAAATACTAAGGAGGGCCAACAAAGATAACGAATTGCTAAAGACTGTTAAACATCGGAAAATCTGAGACATATAGTTAGAGGAAATCGACCTAGAATACTACAACAACTAATCCAAAGCCAAAATAGAAGGCCGTAGAGGGGTTGAAAAGAAACAGGTTTTTTGGTTAAAAAATATTTGTGAATGGACTGAGATATCAAAAGCAGGACCATTTCGTCGGACAACTTTGAAGATAATACAATATTGTTATTATCTGAATGATATTTATGACTTTTAAATTATCACACAATCGTTACGATTCGAATTTTCTGTTTGGAGATATTCTTTTATTTTTTTACTTTTTTACTTTTCATTCATTATATGTATTTTTCATGCAGTTTTGGTTTAAAACTTGCTTATAATAAATATATGATGATTAGAAATAAGTTGATCGAGGGTAGTGTTTTGATAAAATAACCACTATTTCGTGACGCTACTCGTGACGATTTCTCGTGGCGCTATTCCGTGACGCTCGCCTTAACATTTTACTATAGAGAAAAAAGTAATGCAACACTAGTATAGAAGCTTGGCTTCAGTAAAAAATATTATATTCTTTAAAACATTAAGCAATTATTATACATTTTGTTATAAAAAATCAGGTAATATTAGCATCCACTGACTTCAATATAAAATTAATTTTAACTAAGGCTCATATTTGACTCAAAGATAATGAATATGTAGACTCCTTAGCTAAGACTACTGTTACATGTCCTTCATTGACATATAAAAAATTAATGAAATCATTACTGCATTACCAACCATAACAGGCATATAACTTTACAACCACTTATTTCGCAAACCACTTGGTTTAAGATTTTTAACGGTACACGTAAGTATATATCCACCATAAACAGAGTAGGCTCTTTAGACATGCATACTATCCATGTGATTTATTTAAAATAACAGTGATCGAAGACGATAATTGCAAATATCGAGGAAAACTTGGTGATCTTCATCATACCTTTTTTTTAAATATCCTAAATTTCATCAGCATTCAAACTCACTCTATAAAAAAGTAATTAAATGCAATATGTATGCACC